TCTGTTCATTTAGCGCAAATGTCTACAATCATGGAATTACGAAACCCTTGAGGGACTTATCTATGTGAAAAGATGTTTATTATAATATTTAACTTTAAAAATAATTCAGCAAATTGAAGGTACATGAAGAAGGAAACACTACCACCTGCAGGTGGGAGTTAGCATCAGCTAAACTCAAATTTGCAATAAACTTGCACAAAAATAGAGGAATTTGTTCATTTAGCGTAAATTTCTTCAACCCTGGTATCGTGAAAAACTAAAGAGACAGATTAATGTAACATGGCAGCATACAGAAAAAAGCTGCTTTGCTTTTTAAGCACACAACTGTTATCCTGAAGGCTCTAGAGGGCCACATAAGAAGTTACGGTGGGCCAAAATTGGCCCCCGGGCCTTGAGTTTGACACAGAGCTTCTTATTCGAAGCTTAACGCACCCTGCGTGTAAAAACCCGCAAGCTGCCAGCGCGTTTCTCGCCACCGCCAAATCAGGGGTCATTGGCCACGATCCGCTCGAGTGAAGGCAGAAGCAACAGCCTGACCCGATCGGGTTAAATAAGTAGATTTCAGTGGGAACCGCTTGCGCAACAGTGGATGCTGCCCATCTTATGATCCAAGGTTAACGCCAACTGCTTCAAAAACAACCAAACAGCGAAGAAAAGTTTGGATTACGGAGAGGAAATATGACTATATCCCGACATGTGGATGTGAGAGTCCGCACAGCGCGGGACTCACCGCATGGATATCAGATTACCGCTGCGCTCCGAGCATCAAATGCCACTTAACTGTCGGGACACAGGCGCGCACACGCAAAAATAAAAAAATAAAAAATAACAAAAAAGCCATAATCATCATCATTATCACAGAAACGAGCGTGAGGGAAAGTCAGACAGACTTACCATTTTTGAAAAATCTTGTAATGCCTTCATAGAGTCCTAAAAACGCAACGTCGCTCCAAGCTTTCCTCAAATAACCGCGTATTCCACTGCAGAGCTGCCGCCGACGCTGACTCTCTCTCTCTCTCTCTCTCTCTCTCTCTCTCTCTCTCTCTCTCAGATTGATTCAGCGTTTCCAAGTGCTGCGCTGCCGCCGCTGGTATGATGGAAATTGTCTCAGAAATCTTCAGGTGGATGCAACCGCGACTCTTCCTGCAGCTGCTGCTGCAGTCTCATCATTATTTTAAATAGAAAACAGTCAAAACAAGTGCAGACAGCATGCATTTCATGCAATATAGTCGGATAGTTGCCACAAATCCAGGGCAACCTCTCCTGTAAGGAGCATTTGCTGCTTGGCAACACAGCTCCACCTGTGCAGGGCGCTGCTGCCACTGCAGACACAACCACATTTATCCTCCCTGCAGGTGCATGTCAATAAATCACAGAATATTATCAAAAAGTTCCTTTAATTACATATAAAGTTATATATTCCAAGCATTTGTTTCTGTTCATGTTGATCTTTTAAAGCAAATTAAAAAAATAAAAATTATGTTTGTGAAAATGTTCTGGTATGGTCATGCGAGAATGTGTCAATCATGGAAGATATTTGACTTATAAAAAAACTAAGAATAACCCCAGAAATGTTCTGGCAAAATCTTACAAATTTCTGAGCTTTGAATGTTGAAAATGTGCAAGAAAAAAACTCCGACATGTTGAGATTAATTTCAAGAATTTTCTAGAAAAGCAAGTAAATTTCTGAGTTGAATCTCAACATCTGTCAGGATTTTTTCTAGCAAATTTTAAACTTTTCAGACTAAGAAACGTTCAAGTTTTTTTCTATTAAATTTATAATGTTGATCTAATAATTACTGAATTTTTGGTAAAATCTTGATTTTAATGTATTTTATGTACCATTACTCTTCTTTTTATAATTGATTGTTCTTAATTTGGACTATAAGTCTGTAATAAAATCTACCTATTATGTCTTGTTGGAGCTAAACATTTAGTGGAAGGAAAAACTCTTCCAAAAGGAGACTATTTCTCTCAGTTTGTTGTTTCCTTATAAAGATTAAGTAAACAAAAAATGAGGATGGGGAGCAAAGTTCACTCAAAGGTTTGGTGGAGGCAAATTCAGTTAATCAGTTGCTTTGTTGTTAAACTAAAAGTCGTCCCTTCAAAATAAAAACTTAAAACCAGAAGTTAACCATGACTAAAACTAAAAGAAGGCAAAAAATAGGGATAAAGTATGGCTGGACACTAAATCAATACCAATATATATGACGATAGACACGTGATCAATATCAATAGATAGACTATTATAATAAGCAAAGTTGGTGACATCAACTAACGCTCTCAGATTTTGGTTACCGAGCAACAACCTGCTGAGTGACTTGTGCAGCAGCAGTTTAAAGTTTCCCCACAGTGCTTCATAACTGCTAAAAAATAAAAATAACACCATGAAGTCAAAACTGGGTAAAAAAGGAAAGGTCACGCCACCAGTTTGGCAATATTTCAGACATTTAAACAAAAAACAAATCAATAATTATCGATATCGACTGATATGAAATGCCAATATTAATTTATGGATATTTATAGATAATATCAGAGGCGTCTTACCTGGGCTGAGCAGGAAAGGGACTCGGTTCTTCTTTAGTCCAAGAGCCTGGAAGAAGAGCGAGAGACACAGCCAATGATGTTTGGATCCATGTGATCTGCTGGTGTTGGTTCTTTATTGGCTGGTGAACTGGTCTGGATGTGATCCACGTAACGTGAATCTATGGAGTGTAGTCAGCAGGAAGACAGGAGACCCCAGAACCAACAACCAGCTGAAGGCCGCCATTAAAGAAACCAGGAATCACATTGATGCAGTTATTAAAGCACAATTAGCCCCAAGAAAGTAGAGTGGAATCAACTAACTCACTCACATTGTGGTTACCTAGCAACTCACTCATTCTTTGGTTACCTAGCAACAAGCTGTTGAGTAACTGGCGCAGCAGCAGTTTAAAGTTTTCCCACAGTGCCTCATAATGGCTTAAAAATAAAAAAACTGTGTGGATTTTAATATGAATATGATACAGAATATGATTTGTTTAGCATGAAAAAAAAATCATGTTCATGGTCTTTGTTTGCCAAATGAGATTAAAACATGTTCTAGTAATAAAGTGTTAGTTAAATGTAGTTATTAAATAACCAGATTTGTTCTCATTATTCATGAAAACAATGAAATTGTTCTTGAATAATCTGTTAGGTTTAGTGAAATATGAATAATAAATTGGTTGCCTTTATCAATTTATGATTTGTTAAAATGATACTTGATTAACTTATCTGCTAATGGAACTAGTGTTTTTTTATCTATGTTAATAAATTATTGACCCAGGCATTAAGTGTAACAATTCTTTGCAATAACCTCCTTTATTGAACATTAAACAGTGATAAAGTTTCCTAGAAAATTTTAGGGATTTCTTCATTAAAATTAACAAAAACATTAAAAAAAAGCATTTCTATCTGCAAAAAATCTATATATGAGTTTCAATTGTGAATAAAATCAAACTTTGAGATGCGCTGTGTACCCGGACTCTGTGCTTTTCCTCTCCTGAAGGAGATGTGCGGCTGATCCAGAGTGAAAGCAGTTTATCAAAGACTCCCCAGGGACGGATAACAGAGGAAAACGTAAAGGTCGACTTAAAGGGAAAAGGTCAGCTTGGGACTGAGCCGTCAGTCACTTCAGCAGAGAATTAAAAGGGAGGCGGCTGATTGTTTGAAACTGATCACTGCAGACCATAAACACCTCACAACAGCTATTAATTAGCAAGTTGGTCAGTTTTACCTGCTTTAACTCATCGACTCTGAGCACAAAATGTTCACTTTTTGACTAACATTCAGTTCTTCTGTTGACGTTTCACATCATCAAACACACTTTGATATCTAACAAAGATAAACGAGGAAATGCAGCAAGTGTTTTCAGATGGTTTTGCATTAAGAGAAAAAGGAAACCCGGCTGTATGTGTCTCTGATTATTGGCAGCAACAACAAACATAAATTATTTGTAATAACTGGGAAGGTTCTCCATGTTTTCTCCACATGTGAATAACGATTCACACTGTAGAAATTTATTGGGCTCCCTTTCCAGACTGACAGGTGTTAGATTTGTTGTTGAATTTCTTTAAATTAGAGCGTAGCTATGCTTTTTTTTTTTAACGGTTTTTTTTTTTTGACATCTTTTGGCATACTTCTTGTCTTGAGGCATTGGCGCTAATAAGAAGCTTGCTTTCTTAAAGAGGTTAGGCAAAATAAAACAAAACAAAAATCATTCCTAGTTAATTAAATTTTAGCCTGATCAGTTTAGTTGTTTTAGGGGCTCTTGTCACTTTAAATTCAAATAAGCTGCTGCTGGCCACACCCCCGAACTCAATGTTTACACTCACTCTTAAAAATGGATGCAAACAGATGCGCAATTATACAACCCCAATTATACATCTCTGAAAAGCAGAAGTGGAGCCTCCTGCACAACCAACAAGAAATCAGAAAGTGGTTTCTGGTTGGTAAGTCAACAATAAAACACTTGTCTTTTCCAGCCGCCATTGTACAGCATATACAGCAGTGAAACAAGCTGGAGAACCAGCACGTTGTTAGGCAACAGGTGCTTGGGTTGCTAGGTAACATTGCAGCGTCTGAATGTGATTAATCAGGTAGTTTTTGAAAGGCTCATTTTCCAGACACCAAAAACCGGCTGGGTGTTTTTTTTTTTTGTTTGTTTGTTTTTTAATCGCTTGGGCTGCTTTTAGAAGCAACTGAGACTCAATGGATGAACAAAAAAATAGGTCCTATTTAGAATACTTACAAAAATAAAAGATTATTCCCTTACTAGATGAAACAGTTTCTTAAAACCTCTCTGTGTGCTTATGAATCAGTTTAATGATGTAAAACACTTGTGTGACCGTGCCAGGTGACAGATCATGTTGACTTCCGCGGTCAGTGGTCGTAATGTAATGCCTGATTGGTGCACGTAGCGAGTCTGGATGCAACAGGGTGGCCGACCCGTTTCTGCTCCAGCAGACATGGAGAGGATCAGCATCCGCAGCCTGTCCCGCTGCTGCTTCATCCCAGCAGCAGCGACTCTTGCTCTGAGCTCTTGCATTGCGTCGCTCCTTCCTCCTCCTCCTCCTCCCTCCCCGCCTCCCTCGCTCTATTAAATTTCCAGTCACACAACAGTGCAGTGGATATCCCTCCCTTTCGCTAACTCTCACACACTCTCGCCCCTTCCCCTCCCAGTCCTACATACCTCAGTAGTTTGTGGAGGTGTTCTCGTCCTCCTGTATCTCTCCGTATCTTGTTATTGATTGCTCTCTCCCTTCGTTTGGCTTTGAACCTCTCAATTCCCCCCTTCCTCCTCGGCTTGTTATTTAAAAAGAGCTTCCTCACATTTTCTCCTCTTCCTCCCCATCCCGCCCCTGTTTGTCTGTCTGTGCTGCAGTGTCTACTCGGGCTGTGTGGTGTGGAGCGTAACCTCCCTTTTTACTCCCTGGCCGTGGCGTGTTTGTGCAGCGCCAGCTCCGTCAGCCTTAACTGACTGATTGACTGGACACCGCAGACCGATAATGAATAAAGATGGGAGGATTAATGCGCCTCATATGAAGACAAAAAGCAGACCTTTGACAGCTGCTGGCTCCTCATGTGTTCGGTTTGCTGGTTCAGTCGACCTCTCTAGACCTCCACACCAGTTGCTGTACTGGGGCGCAATCAGTGGCGCAATCAGTACCATTGACCCTTTGCAACTACGTCACTAAATAATTGGAGACGCCATGATGGACGTCGGAAGTGAGGGTCGGGAGTGTTGATCAGAGCGACCAAAATTGTTTCCCAAAGTTGTTTTTGCCACTTTATTCATGGCTTCTTCTTGTTCGAGTCCAGCTAATTTGTCTGTAAACGTCACATACCTGGCTGGATCTCACAGAGGTCGGCAGTTTGAAACAGCTAGCTTAGAAACAGACCCATAACTCCTCCCTCCCTCCCGATGTGTTGATTAAACTTCAACACATCACCGATTTTGCCTGAATTCATACCATATGATTTATATCATTAGGTTATAAACATCAGCTCATCTTACACCGGAGCAGCCTTAAAAACGTACAAAAGACGAGATGCTAACCAGTTTTACCATACACGCTAGGCTACATTGTCTCCATGGTTACCAGCGTTTAGCCGTACCTTCTTCATATTGCGATATTGGATATTGTACTTCTAATGGTACTTACTTATAATGTATATGAACGTTAATCTTCTTACCTTGTAAAAAGTGTTCCCCGAAAATTCATGATTACACCGAGGGCTGACGGTCGTTATTGACATCTGTTATCCATCGCTGCGTATTTTTCTTCATTAAAAGTTATAAAATAAAATAGTCTGGTTTCTATCCTTCTCTATTTGTGCAGCCGACCGCAGCATCC